AAAATAAAAAATAAAAGAATTAAAGGACGAAAGTGTTAACAGATGTTGTAGGATAGATATTGCTCTGAAATCAAAATGTTCATATACCACGTGCATTATTTCATTATATTAATAATACATAGTCAAGATTTTCCATATCTCAACTTGAGCTTAACCACAAAATTTAGTGCATTATATATCTATAGAGTTACAAAAGTTAAATTGGAAAGATCTTTGTAGATTATCTCACCAGTTCTTAAATTTTTATAATTGTAAACTGACATTTGGAAAATTTTATAAATTTTTCATATGATTTTTCTGGAATTACGCCAATTCAGTTTTTCCTGTCCTAGTGAAAGCATATACTTCTGTTTCTCACCTGGCAGGATTGGTCTAGATACGTTATATCTATATTCATTGATTCCTATCAATAATATTTTGAGTTTGATTGGTTGATACTTTCATTTAAACTGAGAGGCACAAGAGGTTGAGTAATTTATTCATGTTTACACAAGTGTTAATGGAAAGCTAAACTTTGAACCCAAGCACTGTGGTTCACAAGCGCGAAGGTCATAATGGTATATTAATCAAATAGTTTTAGCTCAACTTACAGTTGCTCATTGTCTCCATTGGCCCAAACTCAGTGCTGGGGGTTTCACAGTGAAGTAACTGAGAGATATGTGCACAGTAGATGTCTTAGGACAACTGGAGCTAGGGGCACATACAAACCACGAAGGCACTTCTGATACAGAGCTTGGGCTCTGGGAATAGCTGCATATTGACCCTACCGTTCACTACTTTGGGGTCATTGGTCCTAACCTAACTCCCCTGAAGCTCATTTTATACATCTGTAAAATGAAGATGGTAATGATATTAAACTCGAGGTATTATTGGGAGAATTAAATGCGAACGTGTATAAGAAAACAATGGATGAATGCTGGGTGATGAGCCAACCTGAGGAGGGCTAGCTATAATATTATTACTAAGATGGAAGGATGGGCTCTATCTTGGTTTCGGAAATGTGTGTGGCGATATGCAAGACCTCAGGTGTGGATGAGTTTTGAAGTCTTGTAACCTCCATCTTCAATTTTCTTTTTCTCACACAGTGGAATCATTGTAACTTTTTGTGCCCTGCACTAGTTCTTTCTCTATTGTTGCTCCACCCATAACACTGGCTGCTCTAGCCCTTCAATATAGCCTGTTTTTTGTTTTTTTTTTGCTTAGTTTCTTCCTTGGAATCCATATTTTCACTTGTGTTAAAAGCGTCTCCTTTCTTATACTAATTCTTTCTCTCACAAGTTTCTTGTGACTTGACTTTAGCCTGCAGATCTGTTTTTATGGCAATCTCTACATTGTAAAATATTTCAATCTCTAGGTTGTAAAATATTTCAACAATCTGTTCTTGTGTAGGAACAGGGTTTTAATTCTTTTTATTTTAATACGAAGCCCTTGGAAGGGTATCCATCCAATGCTAACTACTAGTTCCTCCCAACTTCCTCATTAACCTTTGGCGACTTCACTTTACAAGCCAACCCCTCGAAGGCGTTATGTTTGTCAAGCTTAACTCACATGACCACTTTCAGCATACACCATGCTAACCCTATGTTAAGCATATACCATAACCATTGTTAAGAGCTTTATACATAAATGGATGTGTTTGTGTTATGTATTTGTGTGTAGCATAAGTTAGGTAGTAGTATTATTTTTATTTTATTATTAAGGCAAAAGGGGACTTCTGAAGTTTTTGATGCTTTACAATTACACAGCTAGTATGAGGAAGATTAACATTTAAAAGCCACTTTAAACCTACTTGTCAGCCTATGCTTTTAGCAATACCACTGTCAATGTGTACAGATGTGCTAGAAATAATAAGGATAAAATCATGAGAAACATGTTAAAAAGAAGTTTGGAGTTTGATAATTCTCTTTGGTACTTTTTGTAACTTAACGAAGAGCCACTTTACCCTTCTGTTTATTCTTTATCTCCAATGAGAGGCTAATATATAGTGAACAAGATAAAGTTGCCACATAATCACCTATACTATTTTTTTGACTAATCTTTTTGAGGACAGCAGCATAATGATGTTTCATAAGTATCATCTAACTCCCTATTAATGGAAGTTTTGATGTTTATACCCCAGCTTCACCTCATTCTTTTAGAAAAATGTTGAAAACATCTATTTCTGTGCTCAAAAAATGATAGTAGGTATAGCTGTCCTTTTGTATGAATTACAGTTTCCACTAAAAATGTATATTGAATATAGAAGCTTACCTTGCTCCTTGAAGGCAAGAGACAGTCAACCGTGAATAGTGAGCTCGATATCAGAAATTCTTCCCTGCACAAATTCTGTTAGAGAAGCTCTTTCTCAGGTAGTGGCCAATGGTTCCAAGGTCTCTAAATCAGGGAAAGATGGAGGAAAAGACACAATACATGTTCAGATAATGAATCTACCGTGCATTCTTTCTGTGTCCTTGGAAGAGTCACTTACCTCTTTCTTTATTATATTATAAAATAAACATAATAAAATTACCTCTCCCATATAATCCATAGAATTGTGCTTGTTTTATTTATTTTTTTAATTTTTAATTTTTAATTATTATGGGTACATAATAGTTGTATGTATTTATAGGGTACACATGATGTTTTGATATAAGTGTACAATGTGAATTAATCAAATCAGGGTAATTGTGGTATCCATCACCTCGAGTATTTATCATTTCTTTGTGTTAGGAAAATTCCAATTCCACTCTTTCAGTTATTTTAAAGTATATCCTAACTTATTATTGATTATAATCACTTTGCTGTGCTATCAAATATTGTTCATTCTATCTGTCAAACTATATTTTCGTACCCATTAACCATCCCCACTAGCAAACGAAAGAGTGCCTATAAAACAACTCATTTAGGAGTTACCATTTTGAAGTCACTCCATATAATTTTTCTTGGGGTGTTCCCTTAGCTATGGCTGCAGGCTCACAGGGAATCCTAAAATTGGGAGAAGGCCTGTGTATACAAATAACTGTTAACATTTGGATGAATAAAAAATGATTCAATGAGCTAGGATCAAAGTCTGGTACCTCTAAAAGGAAGTCACCTGGAATCATGGTGGATTTCAGAAGCTAATATATAGATCCAGGAGTGAATTAAAGATATATGGCACCCTCAGAGGATGTCCCCCATGAGAGCATCTACAGCTCCTCTTCTTACTTTCCTAGAAAGACACAATTTAATTGCCTATGGGGACCAAATTGGATATCTCAAGTGTGCACGTATGTTTTTCTATTACTTGTTATTTTGTATTTATTTTTCACTTTTAATTAATATATAATTTGCAAATAATATTAGGCACACATTTTGATATTTAGTTCTAAGAATTTTGTTAAATATGTAGTCATGTAACCACTACCACAATCACCTAGACTAATTTCGTGAGCTTAAATGTGGTCAACTCCTTCTCCCATCCATTGCTTCTGGCGATTACTAGACTATTTTTGTACAGAAAATTTTGCCTTTGCAAGATTGTCCTTAACTAGAATCCTAAAACATACAGTCTTCTTTTCTGTCATTTTTTAACTTAGTGTTATTCAGTGAGATCCAATAATTTTGTTAAATGTGTCTACAGTGGAATTAAGTTGTGGAATAATGTCTCATAATGGGAACTTTACACATTGGTTTTCTTTAATTCCCAAGTTGAAGATCATTTATGTCATTTCTAGTGTTTAGTGACTGTGGAATAAAGCTGATCTAAACATTGGCTAAAATTTTTGTGGGAATATAGGTTTTTATTTCATTTGGCCAAGTATCTGGAAGTTGGATTGTTTTGTCACATGGGAAATATGCTTGATTTAATGGAAATTCTCAAACTGTTTATGAAAGTGGCTCTATAATTTTTCTTTTTTTGAATGTATATATTTTTTGAATTTTTTATTGAAATATGGGAAAAAGTGCACATGTCATAAGCACACAACTCCAGTTTTCACAAAGTGAACACACCTGAGAATGAGCACTCAGGTAAAGAAACACTGCCAACATTCCAGAAAATTCCTTCTCACCACTTTGTCGTCATTACTCATCCCCAACTGCCACCCCCACTAAGGGTCATCACTAGTTTTCCCCAGTTTTAAGCTTTACATAAATGGAATCCAACAAGATATATGTGCTGTTGAATTCAGT